CAAACCCTGGTAGCAGCCATGTTTGTTTTTTATTATTAGACGACGCTTACGCGCATGACCATTCCATATTTGGAATTCGCATTTCCTTATATGGTAAGATGAAAATACTCCGTAAATTACCGCAAGCAGTAACTTATGGCGTTACGGTGACAGATGTATAATAATAAATTATATCACAACCATTCACAATTTGTACGTTTCCACTCTATAGGATATGAGGAAAGGTCTTCTTTATAGGACTCAATAATAAATAAAATATAGTTTCGGAACCGTTCATTATTTAAGACCTACCAAAATGATATGTCGAAACCCAACTGTGAAAGGGTTATAGGCGAAAGCAATGGCGCTTTTAACAGAAATGCTGCAAGAATGGAACTTTAATCGAATGTACTTTTTTTTAATTATTACTGTAATGCGATTACTATCCCAAACTGAATTCTCCATTTTTGTCTCAGTAATATTTATTTTAATATTTAGTTTCGACTACCATTCAACAGTGTACATCGCCAAGGCCAAAAACGGTGCCTTCATCAACTTTGGGCGACTATTTTGTTCACATTTTCGCCAACATAAGGGGTCCTGACATAACCATATTGTATTGATTCAATAATAATGGACGAGAAGCTTATCGCACCGGGCACTATTGAATACAAGGGTATAACGTTACCCGAAATCGTTAACACAAAGATTCTAGAATCACCAGATATCGTGAAATGTCGCGACGATGACGTGTTTGTTGTGAGCTATCCGAAAGCAGGTATGTTCATTTTCCTAGGACTGTAACTGTAGTGCCTGAATTCATATACCTCTCTATAACTAGTACGACCTCGTCAAGTTGTTCTCGTCATTGTTGAGTCTATATTGAAATCTAACAATGGAGGCGCCCAGTTTCTTTCAAGCCTTGCTGTTTGAAAAAAGCTTCCATAAAGTTCTCGTTGAATTGTTTTCACCTGACCTAAATCGCTAACTAACTAACTAACTAACTAACTAAATTGGATATATGAGACTGTGGATATTACTGGGTGGAGACTTCGTCCATGAAATGTCAAGATGCAAAAACAATGCATGGCCAATAAACTAAGTAGGATTATTGACCGGGTCGAGTGCCTTTAATTGCCGTGTGTCTATGTTTCATTGACTTGTGGTTGTGTAGAGTGAATGTACTCGAGTAAAATTATAACATTACACGCCGTCACACACAATGTGATATCGACCTTTGAGTTCTTTCACGTGGATTAAGGTCACGTGATTGAAACATACACAAGCTCTGCTTCCACAACATATATGACTCAGACAGACGCTCGTGACATGCTTTGCTAAGACGGTTCGGATCGTAACTCTGATAAAGCATCGCACTATAGCTTGCATTGCTCAACAGTTCCTGTGAAGCGAAGACTATGAGGCTTTAGGTATAATAAACATGATTTGTTTGTGAATTTAATATTTAATATGTTCAAAACTGCATCTTGATAAAAAAAGTATCGTGTTTATTTATCTGAAACAGAAATCTTTATTTTTGGCACTAAATATGGTAGTCCGATGACGATATTCAAACTTCTAGTACGCATGCGCTTCGAACGTTTGGATGTAAATTAGGAGCGTTTTTAATTATCCCATCGAATAGGCGCGGGCATGGAGTTATGTATAACATATTGATAGGAAAAATATGAATATTCATATGACGGTGTCGAATGTTTATCATAACATTAAAATAAACAGTTTTGTCATTCATAAAAGTATATAAGTTGGAAATTGGACCTCTAAAAGACAACGGTGAGGGCGCTTTGACTTAAAATTTGGCGCCAGGAAATGCTCTAACGTTTTGCTAAAATGACCGGAACTGCCACAGTTTGGGTCAAATAAATAGGCTAGACCATAAAGGGGGGGGCAGCGGCTTATACCTGTATACCTTAAATATGGAAGTACCCCATCCAGGTATTGCCTCCAACTTGAATTAATTAACCATATTCAAGTCAACCCGATGAAAGTGATGTGTGGCGTAGCGTACCTACATGCCACAGGTCGGCAGATATACGAATGTCCCTAGAACAAATATGTAACATAAGTGAATTGAAGACGAAATTCACTTTCTGCTCAATAATCCTATATATTGCAATATACTGTTTTAACCTATCTGTTAAATAAATAGTTTATTGATTCTACACTCGACACCGTGAGAAGCACATGTTTGTTGCATAGAAATTAATTAATATATGAAATGTATGACTGCGACTTTTGTTTAACGATCTATGTTTAGGTATGTTATTTCCACTTTGCTCTCTGAATATTGAATTAGATTTAGTCATCTGATCTGTATTTTGTATTGTCTTTTTTTACTGAAATCAAATATCAACGTAGGAACAACATGGGCAATTGAGATTGTGTCTCTCATAATGAATGGTGGCGATGTTGATGCAAACCACGCTGTACCACAACCAGAACGTAATCCCATGGTGGAGTCTTATATCTCTCGGTAAGACACTTGAATTGCCGAACAAATTATTTTGTTTTTTGCTACAATAGCCTTCTTTCGAACATTTCATTGCAGATCTGAATACGATGGAGATAAAAATCGACTGTTGTCAGTAGCTGACAGTAGAAATGGAATGGCATTTATTTGAGAAAGTTAAAATATTTTATCAGTTTATTTTTGTACTACACATCATCGACCCCTTTCACAGTTGGGTTACATCGAAGACAAAAAGTTTAATGTAATATTAATGGTAATATCATGGTGACATTATTAAACAAATGACACTATCCAAATGTCAATATTTAACCATGGCTATGAATAAGGGACACAAAGTGAACGAAAACATATGCACTATGCAGCAATGATTACGTTGGAAAATGATTGCTTCTGACATCGACGTGTTAAAGTTGAATCGTGATACCATAATTCTATCCTACAGACCAATGCAACTATTTATGCATATCATGAAACTGTTACAGTGGATTCTACCACGTTTCCTACACCTTGAAAACTATGTATTTGTACCCCCAATCCATGCAGTATCTGCATTCGATGGACTGCGACAAATAGAGCGAATACCTTCACCAAGACTCATCAAGTCACATCTACCGTACCAATTCTTTCCTTCACAAGCACTCGAAAAGAAATGCAAGGTATAGTATATGAGAACTTCTTGCACCCTGATATCAAGTTGAACAATGACAACTGTCTTTACTCTGCCTTAACTTATTATTTGAAACGTTCAGACCGTACGTTTATTACCATAATCCCACACACGTGTCTCAGTTATTCTGCATATTGTACACTCATATGATTGTATTCACAGCGTAGTTCATTATTCATGTGAAACCCAGCCCCACAGAAACAAATTAATCGCTCCGTGTGTTCAGTCCAATGATCCGAGATTACATCTAACTCCCCGCGAACACTTATCCATTCAGTCAACAAATTACAAAGGGGCGAATCGGAAATAAAGGTAATGCTCTCATACATGTTGCTAGGAAGGAACAAAGAAGCTTCATTTTTTCACGTTTCCTTCTAAATATTTTGTATTTATAGATTCAAAAACACCGTATATTTTTTTTTTACAGATTATCTATGTTGCTCGTAACCCCAAAGACACAGCAGTATCGCTATACTATATGATGCAACTTATGCCTGTGGTTGGAAATCACATTAAGTCTTGGAACCATTTTTATCAGTTATTTGTCAGTGGTAAAGGTAAGAAAAATCATAATCCGTTTAACATTAAATGATAGCATATGTACTATAGTAACGTTTGTTTTAATCACATTATATTATATTGGCACAATTCCATCAAGCTTAAACAAATACACAAATATATTGAAACAGTATAAGTCGATTTCCGGTCATGATTGATCACTCATTACGGCAAAAGCAAAAAATCGTACGTAATATAGTGTGTTTGTCGTCTGTATGTTCCAATGACGTGATGAAAGTTGACACTGCATGCAATCTTTGTCTAATCAACAATCTATCGATTAACAACACATCAATCGTTATAATTCAAACTAAGCTCTGATTCTCAACTACTAATGAATGAGTTCTCTACTGGATGTTAGCTGACTGACTGACTGGCCCAACGTATGACTATAGACTGACGGTGCTTGACCCAGTGCGTACCAATACACTGCCTTACTAAGTGTTCTTCAAACCACCAGTGCGTCATTTTCCTATTTGTTTAGCTGGTTGCCTACTGAGAGACCGTCATATTTCGGTCGAGAACATTTGGCTATATTCTCAAACATTGCGTAATGTGGTAAAAATACAGAACATCTTCTAGCCACTTAAACAATACATCGATTTAATAAATTTAAATATATGAACTAACTAAAGTAAAAATAAACACATTTCTGATAATAGTACAGTTTAATGTATCAAATTTCGTGTAATAATTGTATACGCCACTGTAATTGTAGGCGGATTTGGTGACTGGTTTGATCACGTGTTGGATTGGCATAAACACGAAGAAGAAGATAATATTATATTTCTAAAGTATGAAGATATGAAGAAGGTTAGATCATCTATATGTAGAAAGTGTAACTTAAATTTGTTGGCATGATATACCTCGTTGTACTGTAACAGAAATATTTTTTGTGATGTTGCTGAACAATTCATTACGGAAATATAGCAAGGATGCAACATTTACAGAATGTTAAACTCATGTCTGCATCCAATGTAAACGGTGAACAACACTTTCATGACAATTATTAAAAAATCTTGATAGTGAATAGATTACTTGCTATACAATGTCATATGTGAACAATTGCGGTCAGGGACAAATTTTGATATAAAGGTATTATTACTATGATCACTGATTACGAAGTTAATACTGGCACACCAATGGCAAAAATAAGACATGACACGCTCAATTAGATCATTTATTTGATTTTTTGGAAACTCGAGATAATAAAACAATTTGACGGGGAGTATATTTTCAAAAAAATAAAAAGAGAATATGGAAGATAGACGTTTCAGTAGTTTACCCTATGCTATTACACGAACAAAATCTACTGTGCGTCCACGTCGAACTTATTTACGTATAGAAACTGAATTGTTCACACCGTAGTGGTGATGTGGTCACCTCCTTGCTTCGATCCTTGACTAAATATTATTATCAGCAGTATGGTAGGAAATATCACAGTTGGTCAGAATGTTATCAGTTATTAACTCATTATATAAAATGTGTGTTAATATTACATGTTTTGCAGTTACCAATCACGTAATACTGTGATTTATAATACAAAAACGGAACACGGATTGCAGTTTACGTTCTATTTATCAAATAATATATTTAATTAACTCAGGCGAAATGTTTATAATATTACTTTGATTATCATTCTACTTTAATTTGTAGGATATCAGGGCTACTATAAAGAAAATTGCTCTGTTCCTAGATATTGAAGTCACCGATGACGTCATGCAAATAATTGTGGAATATTCTACAATTAAGAAAATGAAGGAAAACAAGTCAGTAAACCTTATGGAAAAAAAAGTTGACAACCAAACTGTTAGCTTTGTCCGCAAAGGTAATTATATCAATGGGTGAACCGTTGTAACAATTAATATTAACAATTAATTAATATGTTTTTACAAAAATGTTGCAACATAATATATATATTGATTTGAATTCGAATATATTATCGTGTTAAAAATAATGAATTCACTCACTCACTAACTAACTAGAGTATGTTTATTTAGTTACATTACATGAGGCCATAACGAGTATACCGTATTATGTAACTCACATGATTTGCCTTATCTGGACGATACCTAAAATAAATTTTCCCTTATCATTATCTTAAATGATTATAGCAATTATTGAGGTCAACACAGTGCTGAAATGTCATATCGAATCGAATGCTAACCATGTCACATATAGATTTTTTTGCAAAGAATACCATTTTGTAATCCACCCCAACAACACACAGAGAGTTTTTATACCAGTATGATTCACGTGTGCGAACGGACAACATTCTGGTAGTAACACGCCTTCACTGTGGAGAGTGACATTCTATATATATGTATTTAGAAGAGCCGGGGAAAAACTAAATCTTACCGTTTTCTATTATAGGGATCGTCGGTGACTGGGTAAATCATTTTACTGTGGCTCAGAACGCACAATTCGAGAAGATGTATGAAAGCCGAATGAAAGACTCGGGATTAGTTTTTGAGTGGTAAACAACAACAACAACAACAACAACAACAACAACAACAACATACTTCTCCTTGGTATATCTCTCATCACTGCATTGTAAGGAAATGCTTTTATTTTGTTTGCAAGTGTATTGAATTTGATTCGAAACAGTATTCAATCAATGTCAGATTCAATATTGCGGTTATTCATAACATTACATAACAAATATAAAAAAAACTACTAACATGTAGACAAATGTAAGTTGTCAATCATAAATCTAAGGGTTGGTTATCGTACTTAAATAAAACATATTGAAAAGCAAGCATGCTATCCCTTGCAATTTACTGATAGAATTATATGTGTGTTTATATATTACTATTGCACACCATTTAGCTGTGTTAATTCAATGGTAAAACCTGACATGTTACCATTGCGACATTTGCCAGGAATCGAACTCCCTCCTTCTGACAACAAGTACTTGGAAACATGGAATAGTTATTGGGCGTACATTCCAGCGGGATCTCACTTTTTTGCCCTTTAAACAGTCATCACGTCCACAGGCCAGCGAAACAGTGGATGTATTAACGGGGGGAAATCAAGCACACTGTGTGAGGCAAAACAAATCTCGTGTTAGTTACTTATCAATGGGTAAACTATTTTCATTTGTTGCAAACACAAAATCGTATTTACATGTGTTGCCATGTCTGAGCAAAACCTATAATTAACTTCCGTTCTCCCATATTGTAAAAGATAATTGTAGTAAATTAATAACAATTCTCATCTATTGACACCATCCATTTCCAAACCACTGTTTTCAGTAATTACATACCCACTTCTAGACCAACATGTTAGTCTAATTTCAGTACTGCAACACGAATGCGCAGTGACAAACGAAAATGTCATACAATATATAATATACCAGGTTCTAAACATATACGCCACTATCTGTTTGAAAACCAATGACGTTCAGAGACGGATCCAGAATAACAGTTTTCAGGCGTTTTTCGCCAAGAATATTTGGAGATTTCACTAATCTTTCAAATTTACAAATATCCGACCAACTTCTTGATCATGAATTTGTCAATACTGATACGCACTTCTATACCAACTGGTATGCAAATGATACCCGTATATATAATACCCGGAAAGCATGCTGATAGCAAAACGTTATCAGTGACATTGTAGTAGAAATGATAACTATCAAAAATTACAATATCGGTACACATGAGGAAACAGAGAGAGGATTCTAATGCGCGATGGACATAGGTATTTAGAAGGTTTGATGAATGACCAATCCTTTGTATTACATGCATATTTTGGGCGGTAAGCAACGGAAGACATATATCCAACCGTCCACATCCTGACTGAGATTTAAATCACATCGACTAGTTCAGATGTCATACACTGACCTTGTCACCGATTTCATTATTGTGTTGACAAATCCTAAAGCAGGAAAATCACACAGGGAAAATTCTTTTTTTAAACAGCGATTTACGCATCATTGATTTATGTTGCCAATATTTTCTCTTTCATCAAATGGGTCGCCAGATTCTTTGAAAGCATTTAAAAGTAATAACTGCGATGGACTATTTGCGTGGTGAAAAGCTATTCCTAAATTGTATAAATAAAAAATATGTGCCAGGGTACGAGGACTAAAATTAAAATCGTGCTTCTAACTATATCAAGCTTGACTAACCTAGGGGACCCGTCATGCCGTTAATATAAATGCACTGAATAATGGACGATAAGGTTATAGTACCGGGCACTATTGAATACCAGGGTGCAGCATTTCAAGACATCGTTAATATAAAAATTCTCGATTCACCAGATATCGTGAATTGTCGTGATGATGACGTGTTTGTTGTGAGCTATCCGAAAGCAGGTATGTTAATTTTAGTGCGAGTGTAACGGTGTTGGGTTTCTACACGCTCTTACAAACACGCGTAAGATAACCTATCACATATAGTTCGGCATTGCTACTGATAATTCCCTATTAGTATTCTGTTATATGTTGACATGTGAGATCAATGTTTATGTCATCATAAGAGCCATGACAAAAACATTTACATACGATGAAACCATTGAATTCTTTCAAGCTTCAACATGGACACGATGAGGATCACATGACTGTATATCTGCATCTAGATCTGCTACGTCAATGATCTACACAGGTACCATGTGACCCATGACCTGACTGGTACCTATCAAACAGTATTACTCAAAGTTATCCATATTGACGGTTGCCATATTCATCTTGGTTACTATGACGATATACACTGTTTCGGGGATGTTATGGCATGTAACACATTTTGTAATCGAGACATACTATAAAAATACGTCTACTTTCACCGTGGTTAAAAAGAACAATTATTACCAAAACACGTGTGTAGTCACGCAAGTGTCAGCACCAGAAAATATACATTTTTGGAAGTGAGCAAAATATATAAAATGATGCGTTCCACGGTCAATCACTTTTATATATGTTTATGTCCGTAACACATTGAAATGCATTTTCGAACCACTACCCTCCACCAATGGCGGAGTATTGAACTTCATAAGGCCACACGGTGTTACGCCACGTGTTTTGATTTCCAGTTGTACGCATTGTAAGAGTACATACTATTATTTGGTGGTCAGTTAGTTAGGCCAATGACGTATCTCGTATACGCGAGGTTTTAATGCGAATCCCGGATTATAGATTAATTTCTCTTTGCTCGATTTTGTTAGTTCTGCTGGGCATAATATCAGATATACTAATCCATAAATCTCCTATAAATAAATAAACATTATAATAAAACATTTATGTCTTCTAACAATGTGCCTAATTCTCACCAAATAGTGTTGAAAAAACTCAGAAAACACATTTCCAAAAATACTAAACCACTACTGTTTTGATTTTAATTCAAAATCTGACACACGTGTTGTTAATTCAAACAGTGCGTTTCATTAACAAACTGGGAAGTGCGACCCCAATTTACAGTATATGACAGCTTAATTATCGTGTTATTAAACCTTCATCTCAGGTACCAGGGATCGGGGAGTTCGCAACCTTTCGGCTGAACAAAGACACACACACATGTAGAATACGTGTCAACTCTAGACTCTGTCGCTCTGTGGGAACTGCCAAGACTGGCTCGCCCCCCCCCCCCGTGGAGTCCTCGCCACGTCTCTGCTCGTGTGACCAGCTCCCACGACTGACCAAGACTACTCTTTATTCACTCCTCCAAACCTTAACCAATTACAGGGGAGTTTAAAAGCTTAAGGCGTAGCCTTCACACATTCTACTCACATGTAGCCACACAAAGTATATAACACGTCATATCTACTGATTAATCGTCTGCTATATCGGGAAACTACACATATCAAACTGTCAGATTTAGTTCCAGTCAATGATTTCAGTTCCGACCAAGACGCCGCATAGGTCTAAATGGTGACAGATTATGGAAATGTGTTGAATGATATAAACCAGATATTCACTGGCAACTAGCTATCAAGTCGTATCAGTGACCCATCTCTCGGCACATAGAAATAAATCATGACAGTATATTAATTACTGATTTACACATGTGTATCAAGGCCCTTTTGACAGAGGCTAAACGTGACCTGAACAGTGCAATTATATCAAGAAAATGCAAGTTGGACGAGAAACTTGATTCAGACGACTCCCGTGCGCTTTGGCAAGCGGCGTAGCGTATTGCGGATTATAAATTTATATCAGCCGCTGGCAAGATCCCCGACGATTCTGAGCTTCCAGATAAGTTGAACTCTTTTTATAGTATTGTGTTGATGAACGAAGATGGATCCAGACCTATTGACATCACCATTTATTGCCAGGACTGAGGACACTCGGTGTGCATTCAGCCAATTGAATGGGAGGAAAGCGTTGGGTCCCGACAACATTAGTCCGCGCCCATCCAAGCTCTGTGCTTCTCAGCTAGCCAGTGTTTTTACCCGGCTTTACAACTGGTCTTTGCGCATTTTACATGTACCTGCTATTTTTGAACAGTCAATTATTGTCTCTGTACCAAAGAAGCCAGTGATTTCATCCTTGAAATTAATGATTATCGGCCTGTTGCATTGACGCCTGTTGGCATACTGGAATCATTTGTTCTCAAATTTCTCAAGTCATTGATTACACGCATGCTGGACTCGCTTCAATTTGCCTACAGATCAAACAGGTCGGTAGTCGACGCGGTATCTCTTACTTTATACAATGAGTGTACTAAAACATCTTGATTCAAAAGGTTCATCCTATATATGCTAGGCTTCTTTTTATTGATTTTAGTTCTGCCTTTAATACGATTTTACCAAAATGTTAAATCTAAGTCTGCCATGTATCTGTGAATTGGTCTTGTTGTGATAATCGGCAGGAAGTTTTCAAGCTCGATGACCTTGAACGCAGGGGCGCCCAAAGGTCTGTGTACTGAGCCCCTTCCTCTATTCTTTGATGACGTCAGATTGTAAAATTCGCCGATGACACAACCGTCGCTAGGTTAATTCGAAGAGCAGATGAACGCGACTACCACTACCAGGCTGACGTGCTGGTTGTGTGGTGTGCTGAGAACAACTCCAGCTGAATGTGACCAAAACAAAGGAGATGGTCGTCGATTTTCGTCGGAAAAGACGCCTATCTCTCTATTGGTCATTTACGGCGCGCGTTGACTGCTTCAAGTTTCTCGGCATCCACATATCCAGCGAGTTGACCTGGTCGGCGCATGTCGAGCACTGCGTCACAAAGGCCCAGCGTCAGCTGTTCTTCCTTCGAAGATTGAAAAGTTTTCGTTTGCAGACTGCTCTGCTGCTTAAACTTCTACTACTCCGGAATCGAGAGTATCTTGATGCTTTCCGTCACGGTGTGGTTTGGTAACATCAGTTACGGAGGCTGGACGGTGTGGTGGCGAGCGTGTCGCGTATTATTGGGATCCAACTTCCCCCTCTTTGCGACGTGTACTGGAAACGCCTGGGCAAGCGAGCCGAACGAATCATCACTCACACGTCTCATCCCGCACATGATTTGTTCGAGCTCCTACCATTCGACAGACGCTATCGGTATATCGGTCATCCACATCGCCCCGGTCAGCCAAAGGCTTCTACACCATAGCCGTCCGACGCATGACGTCAAATTTATGTAAGGCCCCTAAGTAGTCTTTGTTGCATCTAGTCAAATAATTGTATTTACTTTTTTTATATTTCACTTTTAGTGCGCAAGGCCAATCCAATTTCTATGTATATTTTAAATATATTTAGCCAATAAACTAGTAGCTTCGCGGTGAGTGGCTTTCACGGGGAGTAGGGCTTTGTCTCAGTAACTAGTCCTTTCATCCTTCGAGAATTAAAGTTTTATGTTTCTTTAACAACTGGCACTATTCTGGGAATACCATCCTTGCAGGAGTTCCAAAATAAGACCCATGCTCTGATAATGCCTCTAGTTTCAAAGACCAATAAACATTACCATTATGATCTTATTGGTGTTGCAAAGGATAGTTGAATATTGTTTATTGAAATTAATAATCCCCATAACCATTTTCTAATATAGATGAATTGTAGTACGTAACAAATTGTATAACTCAGTCTCAACAATGAAATAAAGGGTTGTATATATATATTTACATTATTACTAATGCATTGCAATACAACTAATTCAAATTGTAAGAAATTGCAATATAAAATATTCCATCAGTAATATGTCCTCAAAGGCGTATTTCGCGGTCAGTGTTATTTACGAAAATATTTGTTTATAATTTTATAAACTTGCTTGGCAATACCCACCCCAATTAGATATAATGTGTACATATTTTAATAAATAAAGATATACTAACAAAAATGAAATATTAATTATATATATTTTATTATATAACCTGCACAAAAGTAATCAATATTTTTTCCTTGCTAGAATGATGTGTAACTTCATACGGCAATCCTGATAAAGTTCACAACTGGCGATTTTGCAATATTAGGGATTGTCAGCTTCCTGTGAATTGCGCTGCAAGTTACAGAGCACGTACCTAAGTGGCCGTCCCCCAGCAAATAATTAAGCCAAGGCGTTTTCAATATTGAAATCAGGAAACTCTCCGTTTTTACACAATCTGGGAAGTTTGAATTACTAAATGAAGTACAGGACGACAAAGCTGAAATATCCAAGAACCAACACATACCAAAAATCCCAAAAGTGAATATTCGTGTTGTATTTTAAGTCTAATCGGACCGGAAGTGGGAATTTGTTAGTATAAGGTAGTAACAACTTGTCATTAATTATGGGATTATTTGTAAGCATAAGAATGTTATGTGAACTTTGTTCATTAAAAAGAAAAACTGTGCGATGACGCTATTTTCAGGGCCTAACTGATTCAGACTCCTATATTGACTATGTCCCGGGCTGTTCACTATAGTACCAACCTACTTACTTGTCAATGTCTGGCTGTTATATACAGCCCAGAACACGTCAGAATAGTAAAAAAAGTCAGCAAATGTCAATTACCCGTGCCATGAGAGTCGGCCACAGAACCAAAACAATCTGTCAGCCTTTGCCGCCCACAGCATCGATATGATTTTACATTGCATAGAAATGAACATTAAATGCAGCTATCCCGGTCAGCAATCGAATCATCAATATTCATGATTTATTCAATTGGTATTTCCATCTATTTGCTTAGTGGTCTGAACGTGAATATTGTCAAGTTCGAGAGTGTGTTTTACGCACAGTGAACGCGTTGAATAGGAAGTCCATCTTGGGCTAGTGGCATTGTCAAACTTTAGGGAGTACAGGAAATGTTTCAGTAAGGAATTTTTATGCATATCAATATCCTTTATTGGAACAGAACATGTCATATATTCACCAAAAACAATGTTGCCATGTTTCTAGGCATACAACGAATTGGAAACAAAAGGAATCGTCCGATCAAAACGACCTGCATCCTTGAAAATCTAGTCTTATCGCCCTTGCCTTTCGAGCAAAAAAAGGTCGAGGCCAAAAATATGATAGGTTATTTATTAAAGGCGTCCGGGAAACCAAAATTTGGAACGTGAATCACTCCGGCGTCGAAAAAATCAGTGATACCTGTAATAACCACAGTCCCTGTGTAATAACCAGGGGTGAGAGACTATTTACAAAATCCAATATTTAGCGTGAATGCCTTTCCGAGTGAAAAATTGTCGAGGTCAAAACAAAAAAGATAAAGAAAAAAGAAACGATTTTCGCCCAATCATCCATTTTTTGGTGATATATCATTGATTCGACCCAGTGGTAATATAACTTATTTATTAGTGGCGCCGGGAACAAAAATTTGGGACGTGAATGACTTGGACTACAATAATAACTAAGAGGTGAGCGATTACTTACCGCGGCGATAGCGACGGTGATTGCGACCCCAATCATATTTTAATTTTAGTAAGCAAGGGTACAGTGACAGCCACTGACACGTAATTGAAAGAAGGCAAATGAACATGTCAAACAAAAAATACTGTTTCCAGCTGTGGCGTAAAATGGAGGTATATACCATTGTTGACACTTGAGGTGAATGGGAATCAGTTGATTTGAGGGTGTCACAATAAGCGAGGGAACAAATCGTTTTTATGCTACGAAAAAGTGAAGACCTTGAACCTACTCTTTGGACTTTAGTACAACTTCATTTTTGTTTGATTACCTAACGTTTTTAGGTTCATGTGCTGCAAGTTATAGAGCACATACCGAAGCGGCCGTCCCTCGGCAACAAATGAAGCCAAGGCATTTTCGATGTCGAAATCGCGAAACTCTCCCTTTTTACGCAAACTAGGAAGTTCGAATGACTAAACGAAGAACAGGACGACGAAGCTTAAATATCCAAGAACCAACACATACCAAAAATTATATCTCAAACATGAATATTCGTGGTGTATTTTAAGTTTAACCGGACCGGAAGTGAAAATTTGTTAGTACTCTAAATATCCAAACATATTTTAGCATAAGGTAGTAACTATGATATGATGATGTTTAATTTTGTATCATTTTTGTGTAAGAATTATATTTGTGGATGCTCGAAATAGGTGATATTCTGTTAAATATTCTGTTGATATTGATTCGAGTTGTGTATACAGTTGCAGACGACTCAACCAAACATAGTATACTGACACCGTACGTACGTACCTGAATTTGATTCTAAAACTACTTCAGCAACTTTCTTATGTTGGCGGTTCGCCTGGATAACTGTCACCCTCTCTTCCCTTTCTCGGTCAAAAATCCTTTAAATTTGCGTACATTTTCATCAGTATCTTTTTGATTCTATGATCGCGATGCGTACTTGTTTATTGTGGCAGTCATCTTACAAATCTGCTTCAAACGCGCAGAACGTATGCACAGTGCATTTCCGCGCATACAACCTTAAGCAATACCTCCACAGCAGCATGCATACATAGGAATAGACAGTTCATCAAGCACAAACACACACATCTTTCCTAGGGTTTGGTCTAATAGGACTTGAAACACAAATATTCCATTAAAACTCATCCTAGTATAACATCAGTGTATATAGACACCAGCCACTGCCACTCCATACAAAGTTGCACTTCAATCAGATCACGCGCCAAATGCACCTGTTCATAATTATCATTCAGTAGCTTTCACCATTGTATAAATGCATTTTTATTTGAAGCGGGAGAGTCGTCACCTACGCATGCGTGTCATTGTTTACAAACAAGCGTCTACCCACGAGCCTTTGCGTTCTTAGCGTGAGTTGTTATCATCGCTTGGGACTTAATTCCCGCGCGTGCGCAGGTGACGACCCTGCCGCATGCCATGCCAAGCACGGCACCCTCCAAAGGTGACAGCTATGTATAATAGGTTCAACAGTGTAATTGTGATTAATACAATAACTCACCATCCCAGAATATAATGCCCAAATAATAATAATAATAATTATAATTTCCTAATTATGTACAATTAAATATGTTATTTCCACTTTCTGTCTACCGTTATCTGTGTACTGTATATTTGATTTGTGTTGTACCATTGTCTGTATTATTGTAAGCAATTGTCACCCAAATACCCTGCTATTCTTATATATCAACATTCACGTTAAGGTACAGGTTTGATACATCAGTTTAGGGGGGCTTGAATGTGTTCTTATAACTTCTTGTCACATAGGAACTACCTGGGCAATTGAGATTGTTTCACTTATAATGAATGGTGGCGATGTTGATGCAAATCATGCTGTACCACAACCAGAACGTAATCCCATGCTGGAGTCATATATCTCTAGGTAAGACACTTGAATTGCGAAACAAATATTTTGAACATTTCAATTTAGATCTGAATAAGAGAAAGATAAAAATATCAGTAGCTGGCAATATAAATGGAATCGTGTATACCTGAAAATGCGACAACTAATAATAATATACAGAATGATAACACATTATTCATTCACGTGTACTTTTATCTAATAATATTTGTGTCAATTTGACTGTACTGGCAACAAAAAAGTGTAATGAAGCATTATTAATATTGACAGCACACCGGTAATCAAATCAAGTAACAATATTTGCTCAAACTATGAATTGGGAGCAACACGCATTTAACAGTACGTGTAATGTACAATATGTCAGCATATATTGATATATCGATGTGTTTAACTTACAGACCAATGCTGACGCTGATGTATATTATGAAAAAGATACAATGGCTTTTGCCAAGTTTCCTACACCTTGAAAACTATATATTTGTACCTCCAATTAAAGGATTATTTGCCTTCGATGGAATGCGACAAATGGAGAAATTACCTTCACCACGACTCATCAAGTCACATCTTCCATACAAATTTTTTTCCTTCACAAGCACTTGAAAAGAAATGCAAGGTTAAGTACAATTTCTTGCATCTAGATATCACTAATGGCAACTATATTCATTCAGTTGTAAAAACGATTTATACTACGTTTGGTTATGATACCTTTTTATCTGGCCAAAATGTTTTTATTTTTTTTTATCTTAATTTGTATTTTTGTATATGACCCCCAGGGCCATATAAACGAATTACCCGCTCCTCACGTTAAGCCCATCGAACCAGTATTACGTCCAACTCACTCTGAGCCCTTATCATGCATCATATTCTGAGCAGGTCAACACCCTCTGATTAAATCAGTAAACACATCAGAGAGATATGGATTAAGTAGAATTTATAGATCTGAGAACACTTACTTACCAATTACGTATAAATATAACAGGAATTATGCTATAATTGTGTATATTACTCCGATAAAAACACACTGTTGACTGTTATTGGAATGTCACTTGCAAGAGTAAACATCTTGCTTGTACAGCAACAAATTGGAGAATTGGAGTTAAACATTCCGATCGCGTGTTACATAGGGTGAAGTTTAATGTTGACAAAATGCATCTTTAAGATTATTTTGTATATAGTTTTAGCTTTTGTTTTCTCATACATATAACGACCTATATTTCCATATTAGGACAACCTTTACCAATTAGTTATTGTATGATGTCACGACTACTTCAAACAGAAGCACGTTCGATCTCTCAATTGCAATTAACCACACTTCTTTTGTTTTACAGATTATCTATATTGCTCGTAACCCCAAAGACACAGCAGTATCGCTATACTATATGATGAAACTTATGCCTGTGTTTGGAAATTACATTAAGTCTTGGAACCATTCTTATCAGTTATTTTTCAGTGGTAAAGGTAAGAATCACTGTCCGTTCAGTATTATAGAAAAATCTATGTCTAATGTTTACATATGCAGATTTGTCTACCAGAAAAGAGCATCATTGACTGAGACGAAGCCGACGTCAAAAATGCTCTTTGAGTTTTGACAAATCTGTATATCGACCACTGCTTGGGTCAATATTTGTATTATTATTCAGAATAAAACAAAAATGTTGTAACATACTGCACTGTAAGATCTCACTTGCTCCAGTTTATAATTATAACATTCAGACTTAAAAACGTATCAGCTGACTTCAGGTCAAGTCTCACGCGACCTTAGATACAATTGTACCACAAACATAAATAATTTGACAATTCAACTACTCATTCCATTATGTATGATCAACATTTAATGTCTAAAATGCGCCTGTTTCGAAAATACCTGATTGTCACATACAAATGTTCATGCCGAGTCATTTGACGACCGCCGTTTTAATTCATGCGTTATGTTAGTTTCAACGCTATATATGAGCTGCATGTATGTTATTCAACCGCAGCATGAAAATAACGCATTATAACGTTTTTATGTTTGATAGTTGGATTTGGTGATTGGTTTGATCATGTGTTGGATTGGAATAAACATAACGAGGAAGACAATATAATATTTGTAAAGTATGAAGACATGAAGAAGGTTAGATCATGCATATGCGAATAATTTATTGTATTTTTGTACCATACTATAGCGCAATATACAGAAATGCTCCACATAATGTGTGTCGTCATGGCGACTGTGAATGTTGTCAAATAATATTGAAATGAACGTTCTGGTACGATGAGCGCTTTGTAAACGAATATAGCAAAGGGTGTTATTCACAAAATTTTAGGCTCGTGTTTGTATTCAGTGTAAATGTTGAACAACACAGTTTCATGAAGGTTCTTAGAAATTGCTGATACTTTGTGAATAGATTACATATTGGTATACAAAGTTATACGTGGGACAATTGAGGTTAAATACAAATGTAATATTTCTGTCACTGATTACTGAGACTTCGTGGGGGAAAATAAGTCATGACACACATTATTAAAACATTTCTTTGACATTTTGAAACTGAGAATAAAACATTCTGAAGTAAAGATGACAGTTTCATTAGTTCACACTATCTTAGTAGTCTGGTAGGTAATGTCACAAGTTTTTTTCTGTTACAAGCTTGTTATTTAATAGTTACATATTTGAATGTACGTAATACCATGGTCATTTATAATTGAAAAAAAAACATCACAGAAAAAACATATTTCCCTTTAATTATCATTATAATTTATTTATTCAATCAATAAACTAAACGGACATTTTTATAATGAGACTTTAACTATTTTGTTAATCCTTGTTTTGTTTTGTAGGATATCAGGGCTACCATAAAGAAGATTGCTCTGTTCTTAGATATTGAAGTGACAGATGATGTCATGCAAAGAATTGTGGAATACTCTTCCATCAAGAAAATGAGAGAAAACAAGGCAGTAAACCTAATGAAAGGAAACGTGGACAACCATACTGTAAGCTTTATCCGCAAAGGTATTTACAATATATCAATGAGTAAACTTTGTCTGCAAATGTACATACATTATATCAGGGGTAAACTGTTGAAATTTATTGTTTCACATAACACAATAATTCCGATACCTTTAAAGAACTCCCGGTTTCCGTTGTTCTGGAAAGTATTTGTGGTAAGTATGTAGTAACTGAATTACAGTTTTTTCTTGGGATGAGTGAAATCCACATATCAAATTAATTTATTGGGATTTGTTGAAATATATTAAAGTGGCAATCAGTTTCAACGCCACTGGTATTTGTTATATGACACGCTTGTATTCTTAGCATATTCGATGAAGAACTGAATGCTAACACTGTTGCTTATGGGAATTCTATGTAAGAACGTCATCTTGTAATCTATCACTCTATACACAGAGGGCGCTTTTCTATAATATTGCTTCACTTGTGTTCCGCCATCAAAATACCAACAGTCTGAAAAATGTCATTTCACACACAGATATTTCGAAGGGCAGGAGAAGGTCTAACTGCTTACGTTTTGTATTATAGGAATCGTCGGTGACTGGGTGAATCATTTCACTGTGGCTCAAGACGCACATTTTGAGAAGATGTATGAAAAACGTATGAAAGGCTCGGGTTTAGTTTTTGACTTTTACTAACATTACATATGTGTTTTCAAATATTACCACGTCACACATAGACAGCAGTTTTAATTCAGGGTTGAAACCTTACTAGTGACAATTGTGACATTTGCCTGAGCATTTCACTCCCTCCGTATGATAAAAGTACTTGTCCACCTCCACTGCGTCACCTCAACTGTTAGGTTTATCCGCAAAGGTACTTGGAATATACTATGTGCAAATCGTCATGAGCTTAAATTATAGGGTGAAACGTTACACGTGATCATCGTAGCACTCTGCCGTCTCATAGAAAGTACATAGAAACTGCGCATGACTACGCACCTACCTAACATAGGTTTCAGAAAGTATTCAATGTTTCACTGAACAGAAATGTCGATTTTGTTCATATCATATGTTGTGATCTTATGTATAAAATATCAATCATAAATAAACTGAATGATAGACGGAATAATTTCACCAGAATAAAGATTATAATCTACATGCCAAACAGAACCCCATATAAAAAATGTAATATTAATCACGTGACTGCAAATTACCGCATATATTATATAGACACTATACGGAAACGGAAACCCAAAACAGAAATGGAAAGCGAAATGTTAAAACGACCCTTAAACTAGCAAACCGAGCTAAAAATGTTTCTATGCGGTACTAGGTTATATGATTCATTGTTACATAATAAATTTAATATCGTTTTCCGTTTCATACATTTTCACTATCAAATGTCAGTCACGTAGCTGTGATTGTTTATACCAGAACAAGTGTGACTTCATTACGGCAGCCTTCCCCAGTAACGACAAACTTACTGAATTCCGACCAACTATTTTCAGATTTCCCTAATTGAGATGTTGCGGTCCTCGGTGTCCTAGGTAGCGTGCTACACAAAACCGCCATTTAATTTGCTTTACCCACTGACAAGGGTTTGGTTTAGGAACACAGTTTATTTTAATGATTGGAACAATAAGAATAGAGTTATTTTAGGCAAGAGATGTGAAATAACTAATTACCGCCACACAGCAATATAAGTTTCTATTGCTTTATTGAAAACTCAATCAACGTTACAAAGTAGTAAACATTGTTTCCATTTAGATAACTATTACGAATGTCCTCTTGTCTTCCCTTCCAGCAATACAATCCGCCTCTGTCTTGTTTGCGCCTGTGGCTACAGGCACCAATGCCTGTCCAGTTTAAACTATTGGACGTAGACAATCGGTCGGGTAGACCGCATTGGTTCCCAGTGAACTGGCATCAAAGCATCCATTATGGGTTGGTATCAGTGAGATAGATTCCACACTAACCAATTAGGTATGCAACTCTGGTGGATTGAACACCTCTATTTTGCGGCGGATGGGACTCTACCCTAATACAGTTGTACTGTAAGCTACTCGTGTACATGATGAAGATAACTGCTCAAACATATTTCTAAAATAAATAATTAAAACCAAAAATACATTTCTCACTGTAGTATTATTAGAGACTTATTTCACTGTGGCGCAGAGTAAAGTGTTCGAAAGGTTATACACATAAAGTATAGAAGACAAGTACACTTGCCTAGATTCACACCAAACATGTTTACATGGTACAATATTGTGCACAGGGAGAAATTCACTCTCCTACAATTCGTTCTAAGAATAATTGCTTACCCTATCTTTTTTGCTAAGGTAGCAGAATATTCGGTATACTATTTGAAATCAGTTAAAACTAAGTAATGTTGGCTAACGAAACCCAACGAATAGGACATTGAGCAAAGATAGATAAACGACTGTATGTTTGCAAACAGCTAGGAACTCATGTAGCGGCAGTTATCATATACATGAATATGTTGTGTTGTATCGTTTGTGAGGTATATATGAAATTAATGTAATAGTACATGTAGTTGTTTTAGTAGTTTTGAAGACCATTACCACCATATAATAAACAGCATATAAACAGTCACCAGTGTTCATCGGCGGAGACATTTATTTAAATTGGGTAAGTTTCTTTTGTACACATTTTCATCAACTTAAAGGGGCCCAACATAAGCATATTGTATCGATTCCCTAATAATGGACGAGAAGGTAATCGTACCGGGCACTATTGAATACAATGGTATAACATTACCCCCACTCGTTATTACAAAGATTTTAGAATCACCAGATATTGTGAAATGTCGTGATGATGACGTGTTCGTTGTGAGCTATCGGAAGGTGTACATTATAGTGCGACAGTAAGTGTTATGTCTCATTATATGTATCTCTCGGATGCATACTTTGAGAATACGTTCACCTAACTAGTGCGATCTTGCCAAGTTTGTTGTCGTAATGTTTGGGGTTATATTAACAATGGAGCCTCGCTGTTGTAAACAGCTCCTAAGGGTCTGGTTGTTTTCGTCTGACCTAAATCGTGGAAGTTATTTACGAATGGGAAACCTAGGTATGTGAATTCAAAACATCATTTTGCAGTTTGATTGCGTTTAACTCAAGGTTCAATGCTTATTTGTGTTTCTTCAAAGAGGACGACTTGCCATTTGATAATATAAACCATTTAATAGCAGCTGTTTAATAACAAAGCAAGTGTGCCTTCATTGCGACAGCTTCCCCCAATTACGACAATCTTCCTGAATTACGACCAACGTTTTTAATTAAGACAGGCTTCCTTAATTAAGATGTAGCGGTCCCCGATAGCCTAGATAGTGTGCTACACACTCGAAGCTGTAATGTTCTTTGATTTGCCCACTGGCATGGGTTTTGTTAAGCAATTTCAGCAATACAATCGGTCTTTGTCTTGGTTACGCCTGTGGCTACAAGCACCAGTGCATGTCCAGTTTAGACTGTTGAACGTAGACAATAGTGTATCGGTCGGCCAGGCTTAGCCACCACTCATTAGTTATTAAGGAACTGGCATCAAAGCACCCAATATAGATTGGTCTCAGTGAGATAGATTCCACACTACCACAGGTATTCAACTCTGGTGGATTGAACACTTCTACTGTGCGGCGGATGGGACGTCTACCCTACTACAGTTGTACTACCCTAGTACATGATGTAGGGAGCGGCTTATATACATTTCAAAAGTTAATATATAAAAACAAAACCATTTCTCACTGTGGATATTACCCGCACTCGTTAATACAAAGATTCTAGAATAACCAGATCGTGAAATACCATCGGAATTCGGGTATGTACATTATAGTGCGAACGTAACGGAGGTGTCTGATAATATGTATCTTTCGGATGCCTTCCTTGAGAATAATCACACTTAACTCGTGCGTCCTTGTGAAGTTTGTTGTCGTCATTTTGCGTGGGTATAATTAACTCAATTCCGTTCCAGCCTCGCTGTTGTAAACAGATTCTATAAGGTTCTGGTTGTTTTCGTCTGACCTAAATCCCCCCCAAATCTTGTTAGGTCACAATCATGACAGTGAACTGTCCCTGTGTGTGTGTGAGATATATGACAAAATACACAAACAATGTATCATCAATAAACTAGTATTATCGACCAAGTCGGGTGCCTTTAATTTTATTGTTTTGCTATGTTAAGTGACTTTTGGTTGTGTAGAGTAAATGATATATGACGCTTTGCGTTCTTCCCATTTTAACACTTACGTAGATTAAGGTCGCCGTGATTGAAACATACGCTAGCTTTGCCCTCACACGTCAACAATCTATGAGATAGGAAGAAGATGAATATTGCTATGACGTTTAAATTAAAATAAACAGTTTTGTCATTCATTAGAGAATAGTAAAATTCAAAGCAAATATCAAAACAAAGATCAGGTTTGTTGTCTTTTAAATCCTCCATTGGAATACCAATAGTGTGTTCAACAATATAGCTTCCCATTGGAGGGGTGCACTCAGTTAAAAACTACACCCAAATATAGACGTTGATGGCACTGTTTAGCAAACAAATTTGCGTTTTTTTGCCAAAAAATATACTTTTTTTTAAGGGAATGGCCTACAATCTTGAAATTCAGGGTAAAAAAAAAACTTCAAAGCGGTGCATACACGTATACACGTATCTATGGGATTACCCCCAGTTATAACCACTAAACACATTTCTATTACAATTCAACGATTGCAATTCAACATTTTACCACGATATTATGATAGAACCATAATTGATTAACAATATTTATGTCATCCCGATTTATGTCATCCCGTTTTGTGTGACGGAGCAAGCCTCCATGCAGTGGTCGTCAGATGGACGAATATCCCTAGAACTAATGTGTAACATATTTGAGTTGCAGATGCATTTCTGCGAGTCGAATTCATTGCAAAATACTGTTATGTAATAATTGCATATTGATTTTTGTTGCTAGAAAATTAAATACCATTGAATGCATGACTTTGATTTTTATTCAATGATATATAGTTGGGTATGTTATTTTCACTTTGATAATTGAATTTTGTTTTTTGGGTATGTTTTACTGAAATGAAATGTCAAACATTCATTTGAGCTATTGGAAGGCCGATATTTAGATTGTAATGCGACTGTAAGGCTTGTCTCGAGCATACACTATGATAGAATTGTTTGGCGGAGTCACCGTGCTTACATAACAATGGTGACGTTTCAGATACAGGTTTGGTACATAAGGTTGAGATGATTAAATTCGTTCTCATATGTCATGATTGTCACATAGGAACTACCTGGA